AGTTATTCAAATTGATGAATTAGTAATTAATAATTGTTAGCCATTTTCATTAATTAAATTTTGGAAAATTATTTCTAACTTGTCTATGAGATTAGAAAATAATTTGAGCCAACTTTATTCAAGCACATTAATAAGGCCTAGAAATAGGATATTTTAATGAAAGAGATTTACATCTTGTCTATGAGAAATAAATTCAAATTGCATAAATAATGAGTTTAATTAGTTAATAATTTTGGCTATTTTTATTAATTAAAATATTGGAGAATTATTTCTGTCTTGTCTATGAGATTAGAATTTAATTCAAGCCAACCATTTTTGAATGCATTAATGAAACCTAGAAATAGGATAAATTAATGAAAGTAATTTCTATTCTTGTCTATGAGAAAACAAATTATTAGTCCAATTGTTGTTTTAATTCCCCTAATTACTAGGTCCAAGAATATATCCATTTCTAATTATTCAATTCATTGCCCTTCTTTGATCAATCCATTTAGAGTTTAATATTTTTCATTTAGTTTATTTTTGAGCCATCATTAGATTTGCATAATTTAATTACTTTATTTTTCAAAAACTAGTTTAGAAATTCCATCAAAAGTTTTAATTCGGAAAGCTTCCAATAATTTGCGATAACCTGTGACTGAGCTTAAAATTAAGAAAACTCCTCCGCCATTCCTCAAGAGACACGATACTCGGGGAAAAACCGAAAGGTTAGACTCCGTTTTACTACAACGCCGCGAAAGCGGTTATCAAGGCCTTTTAGTGATATTGATGCACGTTTCTTGTGTGAAAATGATCTCAAAGAAAGTAAGTAATTAAGCAGTAGGATAATCAGTTGGGTCAGTTAAGACAACTGCTTAGGATTCTGCTGGCAAACTTCAATCTTTTTGTAAGAAGTGCTAAGTGTGTGCTTTGTTGAATTAATGTAAATCAACACACAGTGTATCCTGGTTCAGAGGTGGTGTAATCCTCCTACGTCTAGTCCCACCCTCTTTCAGATGAATTTCACTAAAGTATTAAGCCCAATACACTTAGTGCCAATCTAGCCTTTACAACACTTAGGCCTAGATTGAAGTTTTTTCACAATGAGTATATCACCACTCAAAGTTACTTAGTCCTTAGACTTTTCTCTAATGAACCAGTGGGGATCAAAAGGTACTCTATCTATCTACTCACACTTTAGGATCTGAACAACTGTTCTCCTAAGTGTTTACAACAATTTGTGAAATGTTACAAGAAAGTTCTAACCTCCAACTAGGAACTAAACTTCTATGATTTAGCAATGAATAGCTTGTAAACTGGAAGTTTAGTGAAGCATGAGTCCAAGCAGAGAGTAAAGTTTAGAATAGCACTTCTCTTTTGCTAGATAGCTCGTGAATGCTTGTGGGAGTATTTCTCTACTTTGGATGCTCAAAGCTTGGTCAGAAACTTTCGTTTCAGCCTATACTTATAGGCTTCTCCTTTGGATTAATCTCATCCATTGGTTAGGATGAATTAATCTCTGGCGTTGAAATTTTTGCAAGGACGAATTGTACATTCGTCTTCTTGTGCTGTAGCATTTATTTGGGATGATTTCTTTGTCTTGAGTATCTCAGCCGCTGAAGCATCTCTTTGGAAAATCTTCTCATAATAATAATACATGCGTCCTATGCTTCGGTCCCATGTATTAATTGCCAGTCAATTTTTTGTCTTCAATCATTTACATTCAATGTATTTGATTTTCCGAGCTTCGTTTCTTTAAAATGTGACATACAATTAATCTTTGAGCTAAAATAATATATACCGGTAGGATCTAAATATCCTATTAAGGTAAATAAAAATTACCTTATTGCGTTTTAACTTTTCCGGTAATATTTAATTCGACTCAAAAAATGTACATTTTATTTTGTCACATAATTTTGAATGCTAACACACGAACAATATTGAGACACAATGTACACGTGCTAAGTATAGTGGCATCATCAAAATCTATCAAAATTGGGTACTAACAATTTTAACTAAAAGCTTCATATATATACCAATCAAAATCTATCAAAATCTATCAAAATTGGGTACTAAAAATTAGTGAAACTACTTTAAGAGAACAAACTTTTGTAGCAAAATGGTCCATCTTTTGCATAACATTGAAGACATAATACCTCAATGATAAGCTTCCCCTGTGTGAGGTATAAGCTTTTCATAAGTATGATCTTAATCTTGTTAAAACGTTACATACAAGGTTGATGGCAGAGAGAAGAAAGGCCCACTCACTTGATATAGCACCTCATCTACAATCCAGTTGCCAATACCAGATATAAAACCTTGCAGAAACAATGCCATGTCAAAGATTGATGCAGTTGAAAATGAAATATCAGCATTTCTACATGGAAAATCTGCAATATATTGCTTACATCATGACCTACATGGGGGAAAATGAACTGTTGTCATAGCTAGTACCTTTTCCAAAAAGCGATCTATTCAACTCCAACCTAGGAGTCCTTTTATTAGAACAAATCTTGAAAATGGAGTCTTTTAACCAAGTAACCCTAGCAAAATCAAAGTCCATACGATAAGTGATTCCTTACTTTGTTTCACAATGCATACAGAATTGCAGTCAAAGACTTTAAATTGAAAGAATTTGCTTTCAACGACAAGCTCATCCGTTGAAATGGGAGCAAATAGTAAATCACCTAGAGCTTTTTTCACATACCTCTGCCTCCCACCTTCTAAGTGAACTAAGCTCCCATGTTGCAAGTGGAAGGGCTTCCATAGCTGCCAATTCGAAGGCCAGGGATTCTGGCCACGACCACTAATCGGAGTTGCCCGGAAATTCCGACCAGCAGATTGGACCCATAGCTAGATTATTCATATAATCATTCTGAAATATAAGTAATTACTAATTTTCAACGCGTGATGCGCGTTCGTGTAAATGTCCAAGGTCATCGTAGGCATAATAATTCACCAGATTAGATTGAGTGAATCTATGGTTAATATGAATACAACTTAAAAATGTAAAATGTAAATTGATAGGCCATTTACTTTTTAATAACACACCCATCTACTTTACATATAGTGAAATAAGTATTGAAGAAAAAGAAGAAAAATTGCAAAAGTAATTGAGATGATTTTTCCCATTTTTAATTTGAAGTTCATTGCGTTAAAACATCAAATAGTTATAATGTTATTTCATAGCAGCCCCTCCCCCCAATGAGCATATATTAGGGAAGCAATTCATTTATGATTTTGGAATGACTTGTTAAGGTTAAGGGCCTAAAGACTAGTTCTAGGAATTCAGAATTCCTACCATTTGTGATAGGCATTCATATATTCATAAAAAATTACATCCTAATTATCCATTGCTTCTATCAAGAAAGTAGTTTATAAAAGAAGTCATATATGTGCTAGCATTATAATTTATATTGACACTAGTAAGGGTAGTAGACTGTAATCTATTGCCTGAGCAGCCTATATATCCAAGTCTTTTTGGTTGTAAATTTATTGTTTCCCACTGAAATGATTGATAATATAAATACCATTTCTTTCATGTTTATAGAAAACACAAACAGAACTCATAAAAAATTCTACATTTCAGCTAATTTCAATTCAAACAATGCTTCAAGTATATGAATATGAATTCTACTCGAACTTGGACAAAAAAGTATGTCCTGTAATTTCAGACCAAATGTAAAATGGGAACTGAAGGCTTTCAAAAAATTTGTTCAAAAAGCGATGGAGATCGAAGTACAATCAAGTAAGAAGAGAAAACGTACCCGTGCGCTGAAGAAAAGCTTGACCTGGGATCTGAATCGCCGGCCTAAATTGATCAATTCAGAACTAGGTGAGGAGCTGTACGCCAGCCTAGGTCATCCTATTCAACGTTGTCTCGATTCACAGGTGGGTGAGGAGCTGTTCGCCGGCATAGGTCATCCTATTGTTTGGTGTCGTGGCCTCGTGGGTAGAAGAAGACTATGCGACGGTTGTGCGTAGAAGAGGATTCAAGGGTTTTTTTGTGTAGAAGAAAGCTGACGGGCGAATGTTTGGAAGAGGATGCGATTAATTCTCTCGAGTGCTAGGGTTCTGTGAATGAAGAGAAAAAGAGTGATGTTAAAGTTGATTAAGAGACCCGAAAAAAAAAGAAATTTTAGGTGTTAAACTATGATAAAATAATGTTAAAAGAAAATAAAATAGGGTGTGAACGTCACTATCTGATATTGATACTATTGTGTCAGAAACTAATGACACATATACATCGTAAAAAAGATATGTCGTATTTTCGTGACACTTTATTAAAAAGTGTCACTAACAAAGTGTCACTATAAGCATGTTTTCTACTAGTGATAGGACATGTTAGTGCAATTAATATTAATTTCTTGTCTATGAGAATTGATATTTAGTATCTTTAGATTAGTGAAAATTTCCCATTTTTGTTCATAAATCATAATCAAAGACACCCAAGATCCTTAATTCCAAATCTAGACCCCACTTTTAATTAGTTAATTTTTTGTTGCTAGTCACGTTGAATTTGCCTTTGAATATTTTATTTTTGAAACTTTACTCATCCACATGTTTGCTAGTTTAGTATTTTAATTAGTTAATTTTCTTTCTCAAGTTATTTTGCATGTTCAGTAGATTTAGTTTACTCATTAATGTCATTTAATTAAATTCTCCGCTACTACTTTTGTTGTTTAATTTTATTTATAGAAATTGCTCTAAATAGGAGCAAAAACGTTTTGAAATTCCAAAATAGGAGTATCATATTTTTTATTCCCTGAATAGGAGTAATCTGCCAAGTTTGGAAAAAAATGTCATGTTTTAAAGCCTAGTAATGCCAAACTTGGCAGAAATTTACTCCTATTTAAGGAATAAAAAACATGATACTCCTATTTTGGAATTTCCAAACTTTTTTACTCCTATTTAGGGAATTCTTAATCATTATCACAATTAATCGTTTGAGAAAGCTTGCAACGATTCGTACTAACCGGTGACTGATATTGAAATCAACATTTCCCTCTGCCACTCCTCAGAGACACGATACTCGGGGAAAACCGAACGGTTAAACTCTGTTTTACTACAAAAAGGAGAATAACTCTAGAGGGGATTGTCAAGCAACATGGAGAATAACTCAAGGATAGATCCGAATTACAAAAAGGAAATATATCAAGCAACATGGAGAAGAACTCTAGAGGGGATTGTCAAGCTATAAGCCTCCGAAGTGGAAAGGAAGTTAAAATGTCCAAAACTCAACAATCGGAAGGTCCAAAGGAGGATGAACAACAAGCGAACCGCCCATGTGAGAGTCCAAAGGAAACAAAGAAGAATGAAGTCCAAGAAAAGACTATGTCGGAGAATGAAGTGGAGGCTCAACCTAAAAGCAAGGAGCCAATCAAAGCAAACACTCCACCTATCTCTTTTCCGGCCCGGATGACAAGAAAGATTGATAATGATCAATTTGGGAAGTTCTTGGCACCCTTCATCCCCTGAAAAAAGCCCTCTAAACCTAAACTTAGACCGGTTCCCGTTGCATCCAATGATCCTATGAAAATGGTCTCTTTCGTCAAGGACCAACTCTATCTTATGGAGATGACCATACTGCGACAATTTGAATCTCTTTCAAAGTCTATTGCTGGCTTGGCAGGACGCGTGGACCATCTGCCTGAATCCCATGGTACTATTCGAAATGATTTTCAAATATTCAAGGGAGAGGTATTTGGGAAGCTTGAAGAATTTGCTTTTAATGTGCTTAGGATGATTGTTTCATCATCTGATGAAGAGTGATTGAAAAATTTCACTTATCTGTCTGGGATGGGGGTACATTATTACATTTTTTGCTCACTATCACACTTAACTGTTTTAGGCACTGTTTTGATTCTTCTTATTTCCTTTTGTTTGATGACAAAAGGGGGAAATATTAGGCGCCTCTTTTTGATTTGATGCTACTCTACAAATGGCTACTCCCTCCGTCCCATTTAAAGGTTCTCGTTCACTATTCTCCGGTCAACGTGCATTGTTCTTAATCTTTTACTTTATATATTCAGCTTTTATCAAATTTAAATTTTCTTGATCAGACTTTGTAGCGGTTTTAATGTAGTTTCTGAATATGTAAATTTTATTTATTAAAAATAATTCTACTAATGACAGGGATCAGTTAACTTTATGGTCAGTCAAACGTCGTAAACCATGTGGGAACGTTTAAATGGGACGGAGGGAGTACTATTTCTGGTTACTAATCTACAGGGAAAATCTATATGGCACCTAATGTGTGTCATCAACAAAAAGAGGGAATTTGTTGAATGTATTATTTTGTTGATGACTGGCCCTGCATGAACAAAGGATAGAATTGCCCTAAGGTTCAAATATACATCATTATTTTGTTAATGACTAACCATGCAGGTGAAACGGCAGACACAACCGTCCACAGTTCCTTAAGGAACAGAGAACAGAACTTTCATAGTTCTGTGTAGATGATTGGCTTGATTAAATATGCTTGCACCTAATTGTCTATTAAGTTATTATGGCATGCTTATACGGTTGTTGAATTAAATGATGAAATACCTTGCCTATGTGCTCACTTGTTTTAATAGGCCAATTATTTAGTCTAGACTATTTTAAGCAATGATCTTTTCCTGCATGACTATTTTATAAGTGAAGCATGACTCATTTAATCACCTTCCATGCATGATTAGATACACATCCAATAATTGACTTGTTACACATAGCTTGACATTTTATGGAAAGGATCTCCGACTGCTTCACATGATTCCATGACTTAATGTGTGAATAAATCATTGCGTGCTTATATATATTAAGTAAATAATTTTGCTTCCCCTAATATACGATGGTGTGTGTGTGTGTGTATACACACACATTTGTGAGAAATCATCTTTGTTTGAAATATGTTCCATATACGTATGCATGAGTCTGTTACACTTAAAAGGAAGAATCTCCATAAAAAAGAAAGGACATTCAAATCATAACAAGGCAAGTCCTACGCTTGGTAACTTGGCCATCCAAGGAGAAAAAGTCTCAACGGATCGGATCTACACCAAGCAACTATATATATCGAAGATCAAAATGAAGAATGTGTGCTTGACCGAGAAAACTATTGAGAGACATACTCATCAAAGAACTACCGGAGTCCAAGGCACCTGAAACTGCTCACATAGAGTTCTAGATATAGTTCCTACTTTTCCTTCTTCCTTTTTGTAATGGGGTTTTGAGGCTTGGCTAACTGTAGCATCCTCGGGTTGGTAAGTGTGTGATGAGAGTTTTGTTGTAAAGCTGAGTGGCTCTCTACTCGCAAAGGTAGAGAAGCATAACTCTTCCTAGAGAGGATAGAGTTGGAGTGGCTCAAGGGTAAACTAGGAGAATTTCTCTTGTAACCATTCAAAGCTTTTTAGTGAAGTTATTAAAATTCCTCCGGGGGAGGTCGACGTTTTAATCCCTTTTGAGCTAAAGAATTTTTCCTCGTTAAATCTCTATACCCCACACTAGAACTTGGAGAAAAACTGCCACGGTTCCACATATACACAATCCATCCCCCTCTTGTGTTACTAACAGTTTCATCAGTATCGAGTTAGTTAAATTCAATTTTTTCCTGTAATCAACCTTTATCAATATATTCCCCCAACAATATTTTTTAAAGTAAATCCTTACTTTTCTTATTATACATCAATTTTCACCAATTTTCTTTTTGTGAAAAATTGTGATTAAAAAGTCAAACATTCCAATGTAAAAAGAAATATATTTGGGGTTTAATTTTTTATTGTTACTTCAGACTTATTTTTGAAAAAAATAACTTAAAAATGTTAAAAAATTAATTATGAGATCTTAATTTAAGCACTTGGATCTATTTAACAAAAAAATGGCTCTAAAAGTCTCTAACATATGTAACTTCACATTTTTATATAAATTTTATATATTTAATATTGGTGTCATATGAAAGATTATAAAAATTATGATTTAGATATACGTATTTTTATATAGAAATTAGAGTACAAATAAAAAAACTATACAACTAAAAAAAGGGATTTTAACTTGTATGGGCCAGGCATTTCGAGCCGACAAAGACCTCAAGCTAAGCTCCTATTGTCGAAATCAGAGATCAAGTCTTTAGAGCCGTTGGCGGTCTAAAATAAATAAAGTCTAAGTAAATATATTCACACTTTACACCCCCCACTCCCAACAGTTAGTAATTTATTGTCTCAAGAGGCGGCCAAGTCTAGGGTTTCCTAGGAGTTTTCCAGCGGCGTGGGTAGTCCGGTGAAGGAGTTTTGCGGGGAGACAGTTGGGGCGAGACGCGATCCTGGACGTATTTCGGTGGTGCGGCCAGGCTGGCGAAGGAGGAATTTGGGCGTTCGAACGCAGGTCGGCAGCGAAACAATGAGCGTACTAAGTTGAAATTGCAGGGGGTTAGACAATCCGGCGACAGTTCAATGTTTAGCAGACTTTATTCAATGCCACCGCCCGTCGATTGTGTTTCTGATGGAAACAAAGGTCCGCTGTCTTTGTGCGAAGGAAATCCTACGAATTTAAGAGTTTCAAGATGCCTTCGGCGTTGACAGTGAAGGAACGAGCGGCGGTCTGGCATTTGGCTGGAGGGGCGACGCCGAAGTGGACATAGTGAAGGGCGAAAAATCTTTTATCGATTGCCGAGTTAAACTGCAGGTGAACAAGAGTCCGTGGAGATTGACCGGGTATTATGGCTTCCCAGAAACGAGGCGGAGAAGAGAAGCATGGGCTTTGATGGAGGAACTGGCGATGGGGAGCAACGGGTCGTGGATGATGGTTGGGGATTTCAACGACATTATGTTTAATTCCACATCCTTCGTGGCGGATCAGGGGATTTCGGGAAGCTGTTCATACCTGTGGTCTGCGGGATTTTCCGTTCTAGGGGTATCAATGGACGTGGGATCAAGGTAAGGGCACAAATCACTGGGTGGAGGAAAAGCTCGACCGTATCCTAGTCAATGACATGTGGTGGGACACATTTATGGAAATCCAAGCAAGCTTTGTTGAAGCTCCGGCTAGTGATCATATGGCTCTAGATGTGAAGGTTAGAGTTTCTAATCCAAGTAATAGAAAGAAGAGGTTTAAATTTGAGAACAATTGGGCAAAGGAAGAAGAATGTAGGCTGGTGGTCTCAAATAGTTGGGGGGCGGCTGCCACCATGGCTATTAGTGAAAGAATTTCTTTTTGGGGGATGCTCTCTTGAGATGGGACAGGGGCAAAAAACGGGGATTCCGATATCATATGCTGCTCATGGCTACGGGGAAGGAGGATCGCAATAGTGCTATGGAATTTTTGAGAGTTAGGAAGGTACTACAAATCCTGCTAGAAAAAGAGAATTTATTTTGGAAGCAGAGAGCTAAAGAATTCTGGCTGAAGGAAGGAGATATTAACTCCCGCTTCTTCCATAACGCAGTCAAACAACGCAAAAGGAGAAATAAATTACCTGGCCTTCGAAAGGCAGATAGGGGGTATTGCACGGACAGAGTCGAGCTGGGAGACATGGTTACAGACTATTTTTTGTCTTTGTTTCAGGTTTCGGAGCAGAACAGGATGACAGAAGTTCGAGGAGAGTGTGTGCACAGGTGACCGAGGCCCAAAATAATTTATTAATGCTGCCAATCAGTCCGAAGGAGGTTAAAGCGGCGGTCTTTGATATGCACCCGGAGAAGTCATCGGGATCAGATGGTATGAACCCATCCTTTTTCAGACTTACTGGGATATTGTAGGACAAGAAATATCGACGTTGCGTGACAATATGTTTGAGTCAGGTAAACTAGCTGATAATATTAATATCACTAATCTTGTCCTGATTCCCAAAAAAGATAAACCTGAAAGCATGGGAGACTGGCGCCCCATTGCGTTGTGTAATGTGGTGTATAATTTTTTTTCAAAAGTCTTGGCGAACAGACTGAAGGGGTTGCTTGATAAACTGGTAGGAGAGTGTCAGAGTGCTTTTATTCCAGGAAGATCTATTATCGCTAACATTATTGTGGCTTTTGAGACCCAACACTATCTGAAACGCAAAAATGCTGGGAAAGAGGGGTTCATAGCCCTCAAATTAGACATGAGTAAGGCCTATGACAGGGTGGATTGGTCTTTTCTGGACAGTATTTTAATTAAAATGGGGTTCCACAGACGTTGGGTGAATATGATCATTGAATGTGTTAAGACTGTCAAGTATTATATTCAGTTTGTTGGTGACTTTCTGGGGCCAATTGTCCCAGGCAGGGGGCTACGGCAAGGAGACCGTCTATCTCCCTATCTTTTCATTCTGGTAGCGGAGGGTCTGAGCGCTCTTCTAAGGAGGGCCGAGAAACGCGGAGATATTCATGGGGTGGCAGTTTGCAGAGGAGCCCCACGGGTGTCACGCCCCGGACCTAGTCGGACACCCCAACAACCCGCCGTACAGTACGAGTAGTCAACCGCAGTTCAACTCATCCATACTATACAAGGCGTCATGAATATCATTCACACATAGTACATCCATAAACAAACATAATGTAAAATATTCATTTAAAGCAGCGGAAACAATATTACAAGTGTTCAAGCCACACTTGGCATCATTAGGCATACAAGCCCCCAAATAATTATTCAGAAATTAATATCCATGAGCATGATTAAAATTGTATTTGAAACAGAAACGGAGGAAGCACGAACCACGTCTTCTCTCCTAGATCTTCCTGAAGCAACGGGCACTGGTAGCAAGCTCAACTCCTACCTGAAACTGTGAGGTGGCCTCCCCCGTGAAGGGGAGGTCAGTACTTGGAAGCATTTGACAAGTACAATGACAACTATACTAAGTATAATCAATGTTTCAATTTCTAAGACCCTCAATCTAGGGTGGTATCATATTATAGGCCATAACCCTCGGTTACCCATTTTTTTTTTAAATGTACTTACTTTATATAGAGTCAAGTAGTCGGCCCGTTGCCCATATTCGTTTTTGAAACGCCCATCCCCATTCCCCTGTGACTACTAGTCACGATTGTTATAACCTTCGGTAAATTATATTACCGTCATGGGGCATTTCTTAATTACATTCTTTAGCCATCATGGAGCCTCGCTCAATCTTATTATCATACCGTGCTAGAGCCTCGCTCTTAGCCATCTACATTTATGCTAGAGCCTCGCTCTTAGTCACCTACATTAGGCTAGAGCCCCGCTCTTAGTCAACCTAACTTCATACTAGAGCCTCGCTCTTAGTCATCTACATCTGGCTAGAGCCTCGCTCTTAGTCAATTACATTTATGCTAGAGCCTCGCTCTTAGTCATCTACATCTGGCTAGAGCCTCGCTCTTAGTCAATCTACATTTGTGCTAGAGCCTCGCTCTTAGTCATCTATATTAGGCTAGAGCCTTGCTCTTAGTCAGTCAACATTTGTGCTAGAGCCTCGCTCTTAGTCAATCTACATTTGTTAGAGCCTCGCTCTTAGTCAAGTTATTCGATTCATAAGCCAATTCTATGCCTAGAATCATTTTACCTTGAGTAGCCTTTAAGGCCTACTCCTAACATATCTTAGAGCTCATACATTCCGATCCTTAAGTATCTCTTAGGGCTACTTAAGGCATCTCTATTCACAATCCTATCTCTTAGGATTAGTTCCATCATTTATTTATCTCAATCTCCCGACTAGTATTTCAATACTAGTCGGATAATCTTAGAACAACCAAGTTCTTAATTCATAATCAACATTTCATTCCAATTTATTTTCCAATCCAAATACAATTTAATTTCAATATCAAGAATATCACTTTTATCCATTCATGAATTCTATACATGAAGTAAAAGTATATTTTATCACAATATTTTTGTAGTTAATTCCATTATCATGCCATCACTTTCATATCACATAATCATACACAATTTCTCCCAAATTTGTATATCATGCTTCATTTACTCATAAACCATAGTATTTTCATTTAGGCATTATCAATCGTTAATAATCCATGAAAATCACATTTAACAACTTTAGGTAATCTTATGAAATTAACTCACTAATTATAAACAATATAGTCAGTCATCCTCACCTTAAATATGTCCAGCAAGCCTTCCTATTGAAGCCCCTTCGTTGAACCTTCGATCGGAAATGATCCGAAATGGACTTGGCTGGCAGAGGGCAAAAGCCGCCCGGCTTTTGCAAAAGCTGCCCGGCTTTCGGGCCCTGCAGCACGAAAACAGCTCCTAGAAATGGCGGTTTCCGGCGATTTCGATTCCTATCGATTCCACAACTCTTCAAAACTAAATACCAACACTTTATATCATTTTTCTACACTTTTAAACGTGTAGAACATCTCCTAGAATCCATCATGTGATTTCTATGAAATCGTATACGAAAAATATATTAAACGGAAGAACAAGAACCGGAGCTACGAGATTCTTACCGTTAGGCTTCGTTTTCTATCGGATTTCCTTCTCTTCTTGACTCCCTTTCTTC